GGCCTTGCTCCTTAGTAAATTTATTTGGAATGGTAGAATTTTATTATTATTATTATTATTATTATTATTATTATTATTATTATTACTATTATTATTATTACTACTATTATTATTATTATTATTTGGCAGGCCCTAGTCTATACTTCGAATTCAAACCCGGACTGGGTTTAACCTTACCCCCTTCTCTTTACACCTGAGAATTCTGACTTGGCCCCATCTCCTCTTGTCTTGTATCAGCTGTAAAACCTCGAATCTCCACTGGAACGGTTGCTGCTGCTTTGAAGTTTAGGTAACCTCATTTGTCAATCCGGGTTGGTTTGAGAAGCGGAGTTGGCTTCATTTCTAAGGTGGGGGGAAGCCTGGCGGGATGACACAGCTGCCAGAAGAGCAGAATCCACCCCGCTGCCCGCCCTCTCTAATATCTCCCCGGGGCACCCACAGGCCTCCCCCACCCCACCCCGGGTCCGCTTCCCGCCAGGCAGCAGCGCGTCGATCCAGTTTCGAAATTTGGCGGCGGGAGGGCGCCCAATGGGGGCGGGGAGCTGGGCTGCGGCCGAGTGCGCAGGCGCAAGATGGCTCCTGCTTCTCAGAGGCGCGGAGGTAGAGCGGCTGAGCTGCCTTCTCCGACCCGAGAGAGGGAGGCGGGGAAGGGGAGCGAGAGGCCGCGGGCATTTCTGTCTCGAGCTCCCTTCTTCGCATGCCTGGAAAAGCGAAAAGAGGAGCCAAGGACCTGGGGAGACCCGGCATGGGCGCAGCCAAGGGGGGCGGGCAGAGAGGGGCAAATCAATAAAAATACATAGCAAATTGAGGTTCTGCCTCCCCCCCTCCAAGATCCTGGCTACGCCCAGGAGCCCCGGGGAGCCTCTCCAAAGCGGGGCTCTTTTGCAAAGCGAACTGGGGAGCAGCAGCAACAGGAAGGGGATCCCTGGAGATAATCCATTTATTTCCCATTCGGTGGAAACGCCTCTTGTTCCTCCTCCTCCTCCAGCTGCTGCTGCTGCTGCGGCTTCATCCAGCGGGGAAAGAAAGGGCGACTAGGCTTGCAATCCTATGCACACTTGGATGGGGCGCACTCTCCGAAGCACAGCGCTATGGTTGAGTTGCAGCGCAAGCCTTAACCATGCCTACTCGGAAGGAAACGCTGCTTAATTCAATGGGGTTTACTCCTTGGTGAGTGGAGCAAACAGCCTTCTTGTCTTTTTATTCCGTTCGTTCTTAATGCCTTCCCGTTCCTTTGATGTCTCCTTCCTTCCTTTGGCCATATTCGCCTTTTCTTTTCTCTCTCTCAAGAAAAATAATAACTAGAGCCCGGATCCCGTTCTCCTCTCTTGGGCTTGTTTGCAGCGCAGGCGGTTGCGCCCACCTTTGCGCTCCCTCCCGGGCCTTTTGCTGGAGGATAGCGGCTGAGTGTTGGCACCGCAAGGTCCAGCGAGGTCGGAGGATGCGACTGGGACGCCCAGAAGCACCCCGAGATGAGGAGGGAGGACGCGCAGTTCTTGCTTGCTGGATGAAGTGCCTCTTGGAAGCACACGGCTTGAAGCCGCCTCCTACTCGGTTTCAGACGGCAATCCGCGCGGGGAACTGAAAAGAGACAGAGGGAAGGTAATAATAAAATAAACAGCTCGGAAGTAACTCCTGTCGAATTCAAGCAGGGCTTAACTCCCAGGTAAGCAGCCTGAAGGCATCCAGCGTAGGAGCGAGTTTGCGTTGCGAATTGACAGCGCAAACGAGAGAGATCAACAGTCTTCGCGGAGCAGACGCTTGAAGCTCACGTCGAAAGAGTGAAACCGTCCCAAGGTTGGCAGAAGAAGCAGCTAAGTGGCCGAGCTGCGCCTCGCTCAGCTTGCCCTGGATGCTGGCACCAGACTCAGACAGCCGAATTCCTGCCCGGGTTCGGCTGGTGGCTGAACTCGGAACTGCAAGCAAAGTGAGCTCTTTCTTCCATTCTTCCGTGCGGAAAGCGAGTTCAGAGGTGGTGGTTGGAATTTGGGGAAGGAACGCAAATAACGCACGAAGGAGAGAACTCGTGTACGTGGATCAACAAGATTCAAGGATCCCAGTGGCGAGCTACAGATACAGGATCTCTTTCACAGATCCACCTTCTAAAGTGAATTGTAAATCCTCGCCGCAGAGAATCTCCTGCGTGTAAAAGGAGTGGGTGGGGGAACGTCTGGACAAGTCGGACTGGGCAGCCGCACGAATCCCCGAAAGAACAGAACGAAGCCGAAGCATCCGCGAGGGAAGGGGGAACGTTGCGCGCATTCTCTGGTCGTTAGTTCTCCCGCCGGTCCGATGATTAATAAGCAGCTCTCTCCTCGCTTTTCCGGATCTATCGGAAAAGCTCCGCATTACTGTCCAAGTGGGACGCCAGCTAAAAGCCTGGCCGGTGCGATGGCGCGACGGCTGAGTCCCAATCCGAAGGGTGGTGGTGCTAATAGAGCCTTGTAACATTGCAACCCAATATCGGAGGAAGCAAACTCTCTTTCGCAAGGGGAACCTATTTGTATTTCGTAGGACAGATTCTTCTTCCTAGTTTATAAAGCGCGTTTAATGCGCGGTCTTCATAGTTCTTGAAACAACCACGCCGGTCTTCAAACGACCAGATCTTTGCTGCGCCTGTTTTACGGAGAAAAATAAGACGTCGCCAAGAACAGTCAAGGTTGAAGCTTAAGGTCCAAAAAAGAGGCCAGAGCCTAGGCTCCAGGCCTGCAAGTCCTAAGTTCTGAGCAGTATGGCCTGCGGCCCCCACTGAACTCGGAGGTGTGGGGCTTTACTCATTAGTGAAGTGAAATACACTCTGCACATGTTCAGAAACACTTAGATAAGACACACGGTTCAGGACTGGCTTCCTTTCCCTCTCTGAATATTGTGCAGCACTGATGCCTTCCAAGCTAACATGCGTTACTGTGCTTCAGTTCGTAGGTTTACTCAAAATAAAACCAGCCCTCCGTTTTGGGAAAGCCAGCAATGAATTGCGCAGCCGCTGTTCGCTTTTAGAGCTCCCTCGGCTTGGAAACCTTTTGTATGTAGGGCAAGTCAGTGAGCGATGCAGCGTGGAATTCTCTTTGCTTCTTGGATTCCCTTTTAAACTATTATTACTCCCAACAGTTTAACACAGCATTGGAGTTTGTATTCTGAGAAACAGGCTTACAGGGCCACCAGATGCATGTCTGCTCAGAAGTAAGTCCCACTGAGTTCAATGGGGATTACTCTGAGGTAAGTGAGGATAGGACTGCAGTCTTGCACAAGGGTAAAGTTATACTGCACCTCACCAGGTATAAACAAGTCCCCCCCCCATCACCTGCGTGTTGGGGCGTCCTGAGAAAACCTTGGGAAATCCAAGAAGATTAATAAGAGACTTTGATGGAAAGTAGCGCGATCCTAACCGCTACTAATACAGTTAATCCCATCCTGTTTGTGTTTGTATTATTATTATTATTATTATTATTATTATTATTATTATTATTATTATTATTATTATTATACCGCCCTTCATCCGAGGATCACAAGGCGGATTACAATATCAAATGGGAGTTCCGCGTGATCGCGCTTAGGATTCGGGAGGCAGCAGTAATCACCTGCTTTTACAGCCATCTCCAAAATTATTAAAAGGAAGAACAACTAAGAGGTTTGTGACGACTTGAAAGGCTAGCACGTTTATTGTGCCACAATGAGCTTGTGTGGAACAGAATCCACGCCATCCACTTGCTTCTGATGAAACCGACGTTACTCCACGAAAGTTCATAATAAAACTCTGAAGTCTTCTTCTTAGACTCTCCGTCGGTGTTTCAGCAACCACCACGATCAGGCACCCATCTGGAAATCCTTTCAAAACCGTTTTCTTTTTCTTAAGGTGTACTCACGGTATAAAAGGAAGATAAAATGTTCACCATGACTCCAGTAACCCGGCGAGAGGGCAGGTTCAGGCAGTGACCCTCAAAGCACTGCGATGGAAGCACGTTTCATTGAAATGAATGGGACTCGCTCCCAGTTAAACGTGCTTGTCTGGTGTATGCCATCAACCCACACTTATTTTCGCAGAATTAGCAATACCAATACAGTATCAGTTCAGTTTCAAAATATAGCAGCGTTTGCCGTGATTGAACTGGGACCAAATTGCGCAAACTTGGTTTGATTTATCTGCAGTTCAGAACTTTGGGTTCAACATTGGCCTTTGTGATAATTATTCGATCTTCTTATAGTTGGTTGAAGTCATTTTTTAACCTTTTTTTCTCCTTTGAAAAACAGTCAGTTGAGGATTTTCTCAGAATTAATCCAAAGCAGGAAAAAGACTTGTTATAACACAGCTGCTTTAATTCCTTTCACTGTTAGTGAGATGGAATTCTGACAGAAGCGACTAATAAGTCTATTGACTGTATGTGAGTTAATTCATGTGCATGAATTTAGACCTAATTTACCTCTCTAAGATACTTTATTGTGAAACAATAAGGGAACAGGGATGTGTGTGTCTATGTGTTTTCCCTGGAAGCTGTTCTGATTCATGAGAGGAACCTTATTCTCTCAAACTGTATTTTATATCATCATTGGAAACACGCATTTTCCCCTTTTAGAATCTCTTTTTTGATTGGTTTGATCTGCCCAACTATTATTCGGCTACCTAAAACTGAATTTGTGCTTGTGACTACGTCTATCACGAAAAAAGAATTAGCCTGAAAGAGACATTACTTCAAAGTATATATCTCACATTTACATTAGCAGCTGAAGGACTACAATCGCTCACAACCCAATCCAAACTACTTTTACCAGGAAGGAAGGAAATATCTCTGCTTTCCATTGATCTTTGGCGCTATCTCCCAGGAAAGCGTGTGTAAAGGACTGCAAGCTTCATAGGTTGCAAATTCCATTTAGTTAAGCTGAATGTTAAACTTTAAGTGTTAAATCCGGTGAACATGATCTCCGGATCTCTTTTTGGAGGCATTCGAAAGTTAATAATACCCTTAAACATTGACTATATAACGTCACAAGAAGTAGCAACGGGGTATATGCAAAAGTAATGATTTAATGACCGTAAGCAAGACAAAGCAATAGAATTTGTGCTTCTTTCGCAGACTGGAGACAATGAAATGTTTAGCTACAATTTCCCCGTACAAACATGAAAACAATAGTCATATAGGATAACCACCCTCACGAATGCGTAACTGGTGAGTGAAGAACACACACACACACACACACACACACACACACACACACACACACACACAACGTTTGACCAAAAGCAAAGCACAAACTGAAAAGTATTTGGGGGCTCTTCACAACGCTTAAATTTTAAAACAGTCCTTCTTTTCCCAAACGCAACGCCTTCAGAGGCCCGCCTTGAAGAAGGGATTCCCCGCAGCTTATTGGAAATATCAGAGTACCTGTTCATTTTTAACCAAATTAGTACTGTACCATATACATACATACATACAGATATATATATATTAAAACAAATTTAGACTAAAAGCCTTCATCCAGCAACTTGCTGATTTCTTAAGAAAGAACAACTTAATCAAATAGATTCCCGCATATTTTATGGCTTCTTGTGTGATTTCCTGTGCTTTTTTTATATTTTAAGGGTGGAAACACAAACCCATCACACCAAATAATAAAATTTAATGAAATATTTAATGCGCCCTCCTGTTCCTGGGCGTCGCCTCCCGCTCTCCTGAATCCTTTCCCACTGCACCGTTGGAACAATGAATCACATTCTGTAGAAAGTAAGAAATGAAAGGAAATACTACTTGGAACCAAGACAAAGCCCGTAAAACCCTTTCGAGATGGCCAATTGCTTCCGGGTGAACCGCGGCTTCAGCTTGCTCCCTGCGACCCCGCAGCCTTCAGGCGTCACTAGGGGGGAAAGCTGGCGTCTGCTTCGTCAGCAAGGAGCTAAGAAGAGGCGTCACCAAGGGCCGAGCTAGCCAGGGAAACGGAACCACCGCGTCGAGAGGGCGAGAAACACAATATTCTCTTTATAATATTTATAAATATATCATACAATACTGCTTCCTGTTTTGTCAAATAAGAACGTGGCAATGTTGCACAAATGCAAAATGCCACCTAATTCTTACCCTCCAAAAAAATGTGATTCCCACCCCCCCTCGTTTGTTTTTCCTTCTTTAAACAAGCCAGTAAAATAAACGGCAATACCCGCCTTCAGGCATACAGGTTGTAAAAAGTGAAATAGTATATTTTTTTCTTGTTCTGTGGTTTTTCTTTTCTCGCCCCCCCCTCCTTCCCCTCCTTCTTAAATCCTTTCTGTGCTGCAGTAGGCAAGTTATGGGTGAAACATATTTTTTAAAAAATCAAAGAAAATAAAACTGGCTAATAAAGCAGGAAATTGTTGTTCACAGTGACATGGCTACATAGATGCATAGTTCTTCTATGCGTTTTTCTCTCCAATCCGGTTTCGTTGAAGAATATGAAGATGTGGGGTGGCGGGGAAATCCACTTGCTTTCCGCAGTTTTACAAAACAGTGAAATAACGATTAACAACGGAGATCTTAAACGTAGAAGTTAGTCTGGATTAGCAAAAAACTAGATCCCATTATTGATATGCATCCATTTTCCAGAGAATCCCGTCCAAACCACGAAGGGTGTGGCAAAAACCAAAAAGCATTCCTCTTCCTCTATAGTTTATCCGGGTTTATAGCGTTGCTAGTCCTTAAGAAACACCTCTCCTCCTTCTAAATCCACGGTCCATAGGAGACGCTCATAGCTCAAATCCCCCTGTTTTCACAACAGCCCGAGGTTCGTTTTAATATCCAAAAGTTCCCATATCTAAGGTTCGTGTGGGAGGTTCCGCTGATCGTCCCTCTCACTTCTTAAAGCAATTCGGCGGAGAGTCACACGAGGGGATAGCATCTATAAAGCTGAGTGGCACGGAGAGAAGGAGACGGGACAGGACAGAGCAGGTCTAAAAGAGACGGTGGAGATTTTGGAGTCCCAGAGGCGCTCGGCGCATCAGCCCGAAGACGTGGCCGAAGAGCCGTTGACCGAGGCTTTCCGGGCTCTGTTGCTGAAGGAGGGGTGGTGGTTGCTGCCGCCGCCGCTGGTTCCGTTCATAGTACTAGAGATGTGCGGGAACTGGGGGTGCGGGGACTGCACCGGGGTGCCGGGGCTGAGCAAACAGGAGGAGGTGGAGGGCGGGCCGCCTCCCGCGGGGCTGCTCGCCTTCTCGCTCCCAGAGTCACTTTCCAGCTCGCCGCTGTGGTTCAGCCCATCCTGCGGGTGGCAGCCGATCTTCATCCTCTTGCAAGTTGGTCGCACCCGGTACTTCAAAGGGAGGGGGCCGTTCTGCAAGAAAAAATAAATCAAATAAGAGGAGGACGTCCTCAGACTAGGCGCTTCTTCCCCATCGGTCCGCCACCTCGCTCAAGGCAGGGGCTTCCAAGCCTCCCCCCCCAGCACTATTTACCCTTCTCCAAGTGTAAATATAGGCAATATCCATGAGCGTGTAGTAGTCCTTCAAGGGCTCCTCTTCATACATGACGTCGATCTAGGGGGAGAGATGCAATTGAGCTTCGTTTTACACGGGTGGGGAGGAAGCGACGGCATCAACGTGCACGCCAAAGAAATATCCACCTGGCTCCAAATTTAAATGAGTAAGAGTTAAGCCCATTGACCTAAATAAACCAAAGATTTAAATCCAGGTACTTAGACTTACATTTGTTGGGAAGGAGGAATTTATCTTTCCTGAGTCCTAGGCTTTAGTGGGATTGCTGATCGGCCCTTAAGGGCCAATACTTCAAGTCTTTTATTTAAGAGTTTTGGTGATTGCTGTGTTGTTTTTTTTATAACCCAGACGCAAAAGCCATTAGGCAAAGGCTTATTGAGCAACCTTAGCATGAAAACGACTGTCTAAAACGCTGCGCAGGCTCTGATCTTTCAAGGACAAAGCAACCTGTGATCTGACAGCACAGAGCAAAACACTGGGGGATACTTATCTGATTCTCCAGTTTCTGAAAATAGAGGACTACATTAACAGCTTGTTTTATGTATATAAACCAAAGCAAACCACTAGCTTACATGGTACACTGTGTTGCTTAGTAAGTTTGTGGCAATGCATTAAATTAAATGCCAGGAGCCCAGATTTTACTGGAACTTCTACCACTATCACCCCTTTAATAAACAAAAAATGTACCTGAAAAGTATTGGGTATGTCCATTTTGCTCCTGAGAAACTTTCTCAGATGCATTACAGTCATAGCTGCAGGGCAGCGCAAATATCTTTTGTCATTCACCTGGGAAGGGTGTTTGATTAGGGGGAAAAAAATAATGCATATAGTTAAGAATTCAGTTTAAATGTAGTAGAGATACATAAGCATAGCTGGAAACTAGAAGCTAATTGCTAAATCAAAATAACAAAAATGCAGAACAGTTAATAAGGAGAGTCAAAATGTAGTAACACACATTTTCCAGGGTTTGTTTGCAATATATGACAAGTTTCCTTCTCAAAAAAATTTCGGGTAAAGAAAACTAGAAGGAAACAAAAGTTTTTGGACCATCAATCAGTTCCCTTTTAATTTTAGTTGCCAAGAAGAAACAATAAATGTCTGTACAATAGCTGCCTGCAGTGTTAATTTCTTTAGGGGGATAAAAATAACTATTAATCTAGCTGGGGCAAACAAATAATCTAAACTACTTTCTAAAGAAGGGATCTGTTAAATTCCAAAGGAAGTAAAAGTTATTTACCTCCTCTTTGGGTTTCTCTTTCTCTTTATTTCCTTTCCGTTCCAGTCTGGGAAGAAGAGTGATACAATTATAACAAAGAAGAGCTATCTAAGAATGTGCAGATAAAAGTAAATTATTGTGTTCACAACTTGCCTATTTTGGTCGAAGAACTCTATGGATAAGCTTATTATCTCATCATCTGTTATAATCCTTTTGTCTTCATCTGCAACTTCGCCCCTGTCTTCATTAGAGCCATTGGCAGCTGCACAGAAATTTCCACAGTCATTTACATCTTTAAATTCGAATGAGAACAAACCTCATCAAGAGGGGAATCTCTCTCACAGCTAAGATTATTTCTGCAAATACTGAGATAACTCTCTGTAGCATGTATTAGAAACCTTTAAATTAATTATGCCATATTTTGTCACTGAAATGTTAGGGGAATAATAGATGGGGAAATGTTTTAACAACCTAAGCTTTTGAGTAAGAGGACAGTTTTATGTCTACAAAAGAAAGATATTGAAGCTTTTACCATCAGCAGACGGATGAGCCGCGTAAAAGTCTCTTCTTCTTTTCATTTCATCTGAGTGAGAACACACATTTGTCATTTAGTATACTCTGGCTTTCATACAAGATAGTGCTTGTGGTGGTCACTTAATCTAAGAAGGGCTTACTTACTTTTGAAAAGGCCTGGCACTAACTTGTAGACAATGTCTTGGAGAGTTTTATCAGATCTGAAATATAAAATCCCAGGACACTCAAATTTAGAAGGGTGCCAGTATTAAAATCCAAACTGCACCTCACTTTCCAAAGCAAAGAAAGAGTATTTTCTAACAGATTCAAATGGTCAGACCAAAGTCCCGCAACATTTAAAAATGGTTTAGGCAGAAGTCTTTTACACCAGTCTTTTACATCTGCCTAGGTGGGAAACAATTCTGTCTACGGAAACCTACTTGCCACAGTGTTACTGTCTAAAATGCATGCAGCTAATCAAGAGATGCAATTCCTAAACAGCAAAGGCAGCTAAGTAAGGAGGACTTCTGAAATGAATCTAAGTTTTGCCTTTCTCCACCAGCACAATATACGAGGGGGATGGGTTAGCTGGAACTGACAATAATTTGCAGTTTGGTCAGGCAAGGCAAGAATACAGTACGTATCCAAAAACATATAAGAAGCTGGGGTTTGGGTTTGGAGGGAATTCAAGGAGCGACAGGACTTAAATGCCTGCTCCCCCTTCACACATGAACTTCAGTTTGCAAACTGACATCTCCAGCCAGATCCCAACGTGTGATGAAGAGGTGGCAATCCAAAGAAGCGCGCAAGCCTCGCTACCCTCTGAACTTATCACCTGAAATGAAACACAGCAGTTCAGTTGTCTCTCGCCTACCTTATATTTAAAAGGGGTCTGGTTTTGTGAACTTGGACATCGCAAATAGGGCAATACTTGCTGGTCTCCAAGTAGCGCACGATGCACGTCTTACAAACTATAAGAAAATAGAGAGAGAGAGAGAAAAGAAGAGGCAAGATTTTGATCAGCGGTCAAGGCGAGGTTTCCAGCTATTAAAAGAAGTAACGAGACTTTTCTAAACCCGGAGCCACCAAGCAAAGGTAACCATGATTTGGACAGGGGGCCAAATCTCGAAGGAGCTGCAAAGAGCCGGAGGGAGTCCCTTAAAGATATATAGGGCATGTTTACAAGACTATGGAGCCACTGGCAACCGCACGTAAATGGGAGCAGACCTTTATTGCGAGGGATCAGAGGCTGGCGGGGGTGGTCGGTCGCTGGGCCAGAGCCTTTATCTGCGTCCCTGGGGGGCTAAGGGCACGTGTGAAGCCGGACGGTACTTACAGGAGTGCAGACACTCGATGATGGTGGTGGCATCGATGAAGTACCCTCCGCAGAGCACGCACATGAGGTGGGGGTTCAGCTCGGTGATTTTGATGCGGGTGGTGCGATGCATTTTTGCAGCTCTGAAAGGCACACAGGAGGGCCGTTTAAGCGCGGGAGGGAAGCGTCTCGGAGGCGCACGCAACCTCCACTCCCCCTCCGGACCCCTCCTGGCTTGCAAGGCAGCCCCCGGCCTCCCGCTCGGAAATGTAACTCGGAAGGCGGCGGCGGCGGCGGGGAGCTGGCGAGGCAGGAACTGTAATGCAAAGCGGGAGGCCCGGGCGCAGGGAAGGGGCTGCTGCTCTGCCCAGTGCCCACCTGCCCGCCTGGCCTGGCGCGGCGGCGGGTGCGGGGCTTCTCGGGGCCCTTCTCCCGCGGCGGGCAGGGCACCCCGGCGGCGCTTGCCGGTGCAGAGGATCGCGGCCGGGGGAGAGGCGAGGAGGACGAGGAGGAGGAGGCGCCGGATCCCGGTGCAGCTGCGGACGCTGCCCTGGGCATTTCCGGCGAGGGGGGAGGAGGGGAGGGGGAGGAGGAGGAGGAGGAGGAGGAAGAAGAAAGAAGAAGGGGGGAGAGGGAGGAAGCTGCTCGCCCGCCCGCCTTGCACCTTGGCACCAGGGCCGCTGGGCACCGGCGAGGCCGGGCAGGAGAGGATCGGGCCGCGGCGGAACTGGGCTTCTTCTCCCGCGTCGCCTGGCTCCGCTTGCCTCGCTGCCGCCAGCCCAACAGGCTCGGGACGGCGGCGCCTTCGGAACCGCGCTCTGGAGGGGGTTGCTATAGCAACTTACACTTACACTTGGCATCCTGCCACCGCCCGGAGCGCAGCACCAGGAGGAGGGGGAGGGGAGGGGGGAGAGAAAGAGGGAGCGGAGGAGGGTGGCGGAGAAAGGAAAGAGGGAGAGAGAAAGTGCGCCCAGGAAGGTGGCCCGGGAGAGTCCGGCGAGCTGCGAGGGTCTAGGTGTGCCGCACCCGGGAGGGGAGGGGGGAGGTGGGTGGGCAGAAGAGGACACGGGTGTGCGCATGGGGGGCGGGGTGCAGCCTCAGGAAAGGCGCAGGGGGCGTGGCGGGGGCCGGGAAAGGGGTCCTTTCCTCTCCTTCCCCTCCGCCGCCAAGGGGCCGGGCAGGAGGCCAAGAGCGGCGCTGGAGGGGGAGGCCTCGGGGGCGGCCTGAGCCAGCGCCGGGGTGTGCGCCAGGCCGAGCAGAGAGGCTCCTCCCGGCCCTTTCGGCAGCTCCTCGCAGGGGCCTCCATCCACGTCGACTCAGTCCGGGCAAGGAAGCGGCGGCAGCTCAGCCTCCGGTTTCCTGCCCTCTCCAACGTGCCGTATCTGCGCCGGGACGGGCCTCCAAGTTGGCCCGTCTCAGCCCAGTCGCGCATCTGAATCCGCACCTCGTCCCAGACCAGCACAGCGGCCCGAGTGTCATTTCCAGAGGTTGCTGAACCAGAGCGATTTACGGTGCCACCAGCCCCAGAGGCAGCCGGGCAGGAGGGAAAGGCGCCTGCCGCCCCGGAGCCCAGGTTAAGGTCCCTGATCTCAGCAGATGCCCTCGCAACCAAGGCGGAAACCTTCCCTGCAAAGAGCCCGCAATCCCGGCCGAACTTGGCCAAGGAAAGAGCAAAAGCCCTGGCGTTGCGCGGAGGAAGGAGGAGATGGGACTGGCAGCAGCACAGACAACCTGAGCAAGCAAGCAGCTCCTTCTCTGGGGAGAGGGAAGCAAACGCTGCACCAGGGGGAAATGTTTCCCTTACACACATACACACACAAATTCCCCAAAGAGAAGAAGGCCCGGGGCAGAGGCGCTCGCCTTGGCCTTCAACTCGAGGGTGGCAGCGAGGCTGGGCGCTCCCATGCATTGTGTGCGGATTTTCCAAGATCTCTCCAACAACAAAGGAGCAGCCTGGAGTTTTTGGATCTCGCCAGTCTCGGCTCTTGGCTTCTTGCCCGCGATTTCCCTCCATGCCCTCAGCCAGGAGGAGGAAGACTCCTTCTTGAGGTGACCTGAACCAGTCTCTCCTGCCCTCCTTTTATTCGTGAAGGAAACCCTAAATATCTCACAACTGGGGCAAGTAGGTGGCTCTTTTAATCGGCCGCCTTACAATTCTTCTCCAGCGCTGAGAACCACCGAAGCAGCCCAGTCTTTCGGAAGAGACGAACATGTTTTATTTCACAAAGGACTTCCTAACTGAAAGAAAACTCCCCACAGCCGTGAAGCTTCCCTGGTCGAAGCTCTTTCCCTTAACCGCATATTATTTATGACCCAAGTTAGCCTTCTTCCCCAGGGCATGGTCGAAGCTATCTCTGAAATCCGGGGTCTGAAAACCAGCAAACTGAACCGAAGAACAACAGTGAAAGACGCCAGCCAGCACACACGTGTGCACACGCACCCCTTTCTGTTCACACACAGTTTGCACTGCGCGCGTAAACATAAAGAGCATTTCACTCCCAAACGCGCCAACTCCTCCTCCAGGAGGGGAGCTTCAACTTCTCATTCCCCGCCCCCTCCTTATGTTAAGATCGGCGTGCATACAGTCAAGAAACGCTGACCTTTAACACGAGCGAATATATTTTATTCCAGGCGCTCTCTCGCTCGCCAGGCAAGTCTTCAACCGTGCAAACAAGGGGAGGGTGAAGTTTGCTATGACAGCCAGCCTGGAGGCCATGCGCGGGTTACTTCAAAATACAGGGGCAAGCTCTAGTTATGAAGGCTCACGGTACCCCGTGAATGAGCACAAAGCATCTGCGCCGGCAGCTGAAAAGGGAGCGAAGTCGACCCGAAGACCAGGTAAGCCTCGATGGAGCAGAGCTTCACCCTTTGCACCAACAGCCACACAGGCAGATAGCCCTTCCTTCACCTGCCATGTATTTGAGACCTTAGAATTCTTACAACAGACCTAAATCCTGATGGCGATCAATCAATCGATTGAAAACCGATTCTGGAAGGCATGTATGCCCACATGTGTTGCCAATAAGATACGTGCTCCCTCTTCCCAATATCTGGCTGAAATCCATCTTTAAGTGCGGGAGGGAAGCGGCTTCCAGGGAAGAAATTAATGTGCTCAGTGGCAGAAATCCTCCTCCTTTAGAGCCAAGCTCCTAAAAGTAGCAAATGGGACTCTCCAGCTGGTCTCCTGCTACCACAAAATCTGCTTCCTTCCCAGCCAGCGCGGTGTCCAAACTTATTAAAGGTTAAGAGGCTACACACAGAATCCGCCAACTTCCAGCAAGTCTTCCCTTACACATACGGACGCATCCCATTCTCCTCCCGCCCCATATTATATTTTCAGAGAGTGTTCCTCCTTGGAGGGTCATTTCCAAACAAACTCTCCCCCAATACTTAGCTGCGTCTTGTGCTCCTGAGTTCTGGAGGCAAGAAAAATGTTAGATCTTTAACGAACGCCATGGAGGTGTTCTGACCACATGTCTGTCTCTCCCAGGTTTGGGGGCAAAGGGGGATTTTACCCGTAGGATTTGATGGCACCGACTTATTTCCTGAACTCTTTTTGCCAGGACTAACTACCCTGTCAAGCGAGGTTAGGCCAAGCTAGGTTAGGTGGACGTGTGCTCCGTTTCTCGCGCCAGGAGCAAACCCATCACACCTCGCATACTAGCAAGTCGTTGCCACTAAACTTGCCTTGACCCAGCTTGGAAGGACTGCGGAACAAGGGGCTAGAAAACCAGTTAGAGAAAAGGAAAACCGCGCTGGAAGATCCTGCAAGTCCCATCATCTCAGCTTCCCCAAATCTCTTCCGTCTGCACAGGGCAAACTCGCATTAACGCAGAAACCCCTGTGCCCCCGAAGTTAATTTCCCAGCTTTGCCCTCCCGTCCCCTAAGCGCAGAAACTTTAACAATTTACGCACACACGAGAAAAAGCGCCCAGCTGCAAGCTGAGCGAGAACCGCCATCTTACGAGCCATCCAGTCCCACACCGGGGTCCGCCAAACTTAAGTTAATAAAATTCCTGGGAGAGCCCTCCTGAGCGCGACCAGCCCCCCAGCGGGATCGCCCCCTCGGGGGGGACCCATCCCTATAAGATGGGGGCTCTGCGGGGATCCTGAAACCCCCTGCGAGGCGCTTCTTGGCCAGGCAGCCGCCGTCCCCTGACCCAGGCAGCGCCAGGTTTCATGCACCGCCCGCGTTCAATCGAAATCTGCATTTAAACAAAGGAGCCCCAGAGAGATCGGCGAGCAGGGGCTGAAAATAGAAATATCCTCCTGCGGGGCCATGTGCCCAGGAAGGGGCTAGCGGCGAGCCGAGGGAGGAAAGGAACCGAAATCCGCCGGAGGGGGGGCGTCGCCCCAGCCAGTGCACGGGCCGCCGCCGCCGCCGCCGCCGCGCCTCCCGGGGTCCCTGCGCGGAGGGCGAGGGCGCGCGGGCGCGGAGGCAGCGCGGAGATGGAGCAGCCTGTCAGCGCTTTCCCCACCCGGAGAGCCCGGGGACACCTAGCAAGGCTGGCGCCCCTTCGCAGCCCCCCGAAACCGCCTCCCAGGCTCCGCCGCCCCCCGGCCCCCGGAGGGCAGCCGCGCCCGGGGATACGTACCCGCGAGAAGGAGCCGGCGGGCGACGATCCGAACCGCCCCGAAAGACAATGAAAGTTAAAAGTCGCTCAGCAGAAAATGAATGTGAGCCAAGCGGCCATCTTGAAATGAACTGCAGACGCTGTCAATTGCAATGAGCGCAGGGCTGCCGCCGCCGCCGCCGCGCTCAGCTCATGCTCGCTCCCCCCGCAGCCGGGCTCCTCTCCGCCACCGAGCCCCCTCCCTCGCCCTCGGATCCCTGCGCCGCCCCAGGAGTTGGCTCTGCCTCCCCCCCCCCCGCAGCCCTCGCTCTCCTCTCTCTGCCTCTCCCCACCTCCTTCTCAATGCGCAGCTCCAGTGCTGGGATCTCAAAATCTTTCTAATCCGGATGGTTTGCCTCTCCTCCTCCGCCAGCCCATTGTCTCTTGCGCTCTTTCTTTTCTTCCTCGGCTTCCCCCCCACCCCTTCACCCACTCGCCTCGCAATCTCTTTCCCCCTCTGCTGTGCTTTTTCTTTCTTTTTTTCGGCCCCTCGGAGAGGGAGGCTCTTCCTCCCTCCCTCCTTCCCACTCCTCCTCCTCTTTTTTTTCCCCCTTTACGAGGAAAAAAAAATTGTGATTATTTCATAGTTGTGGAGGGAGCCAGGGGAGAGGAGGGAGAGTGGCGGGCGAGGAGGGGGCTGCTGGCTGCCGCCGCTGCTGCTGGTGGTGGAAAATGCAACGCTGAAAGGCACACAGTGGAAACTGACACCGTCCCCAAAATGGCTCAGAGTTCGCCCGCCCCGCCAGGATCACGTGGGGCTCCTCATTCCTTAAGGGTGGCCTGGGAATTAGTGTCGGTGTAGTCGGAGCCCGTCAGCCTCCCTGTGACCCAATCCCGCGGCTCGGCCGCCTCCCCCTCCCCGCGCGCCACCCTCCCCTCCCCTCCCCCTCCCCGCACTCCGCCTGGTCCTCCGCCTCCCTCCGCTCCACACACACTTCGCCGAGTCCTCCTTTTCTCCACCGCGCTCACGCTGCTGCTGCTGCTGCTGCCTCTGCTGAGCTGCCGCTGCCGCTTGTTCCACCTCCCCCCTTCTCTCTCTCACACACACACAAAATGTATTATTCATTTTCTTCCCCCCGAACACACCCACTCCACGCTTGTAGAGTCGCTTTGCCCGTTCCTTCTCGTTTCCCCACATTTTATACACCCTGTCACTTCACGCGCACAATCTCTCTCTCTTTTCTTCTGGCTTAACTGCAACGCACACAAACCTCTTTTTCTCTGCTTCCCCTCCCCCCGCTATCGCCTCTTTCTTTTCTATATTTGCTCCTTCTCTGACCGACACCTATCTATTCCTTAAATATGTCTCTGTGTGTGTGTGTGTCCCACCCGGCCCCCCGCCCCAGGGCACAATAAACTGAAGCTTGCCACCTTTTGGCTTAGTCCACTCCCCTCATCTAAACCTGTCTACTCCGCTCTTTGCGCCTGCTGCCACCTCTCCCTCCTCACACGACGGTGGCCCCAACTCCGCAGCCCACCATTTTAATATCTGGAGGTGGCACCCAAAGCAAGGTCCCCTTGTCCTCGAAGCGTCTCGCCTGGTGGCTTCCCTCCCGCGCGCACGAGACGCGGCGCTCCTCCGCCGTCGTTGCCCCACAGCCTTCCTTGGGTGCCCGCGCCCAAAATTGCCCCCTGCCGCTCCCAAGCTGCTGTGGGCAAGACCTTTGGCGACGCGACAGGAGACTTGCGCAGCAAAGGCGTTTCAGGTATCGTGGGTGTCGGAAGTGCAACGGGCGGCCAAGGCGAACTAACCCGCAGCCGCGTCTCTGCGCTTCCACCTCCGCCCCTCGTTCCTTATATTTTCCCGCCTTGGCATCCGATCCACGCGTCGTCTGTAGACGAGCTGCTTCTCCTCAGTGCGCCCCAACACACTTCCCGCCCTGCACATCCCCACCCTCCCCACGCGACCCCCGTTTCCTCCGCCTGCTATTTCCTATCCAGCGCCCCCGTCTTTGCCTCCTTTCGCCTTCCACTTTTACCATTCCCGTCTCACGATTTATATACACCCTAGAAATGTTTGAAAACTGACCCCCTCCCCCCTTCTCCACGCCTGTCTCTCTCTCTCTTCCTTTCCTTCTAAGGACCCGATCCCGATTTCCTTCCTTTATTTCGGTTCCCTCTCACGCGGCTTTGACTTCGCCATCCCTCGCGCCTTTTTTTGCCCACCCAAAGTGCCCTCATCCTTCGTCCTGGGCTTTTCTCCCTCCACAACCCCAATTGAGATTCCTCAGATACACGAGGTTTCCCCCCCCCCGCCCCTTCATCTCTTATTTTCTTTAACGTGTTTAAACACAAGAGCGTTCCTGACCCCCCAGCCCCGCGAAACCACCCATTTCCCCTTGACTGGCGAACGGTCTTCCTGGCCTTGAACACGCCGTCTCGTTTCCCGCCTTTCTTCGTCGTATCAGTTCCCTTCTCCACACCAGCTCTGCCACCTCACGCTTCGTCACGGGCGATAAATATGATCGCATTGAGGCAACAAATGTCTTCCGCGGACACCCCCCCACACCCCTTCCCTACCACAATTTTGCCTCCCCTCCCCCACCCTGTCGCTGCCTCGCAGGCATTCCTCGTCGCACTTTCCCCGCTTCCCTCGCTGTCTCGCGCGCAGCTCGCACGATTTCCTTCCACAGATCGCGGCGGCAGAATCCCACCTAATGGCGCGCCCCGGGGGCAGGCAGCCCGGCGCTGCGGGTGGGTGGGTGCGTGGGCGGGTGGGGTGGGGAGGAGAAGAAGAGGCTCCCCAGGGAACCAACTCGAAAATAGGCACCCCGCGCCTCAGCCGCGTCTTCTGGGCAAGGAACAATTGCGCTCTTCGCAACAGTGAACGTCGCTTGAGAACAAAACGCAGCGCAAGGCGCTCCTTGCCCCGAGGTCGGTCGGTCGGTCGGTCGCGGCGTGTGTGGATCCTTCTATTCCACAGGCGATCCTTTTAAGGCTGGACGCTGTTGGACGCCGTCCCTTTCTCGGCAAGCGTTCAGAAGAAACGCAACCATCGAAAAGGAGCTGGGAAAAGCACGCCCGCCCCCCACTTCGCCCCCCACTTCCCAAAGAGAGAAGGACGGGGGTCGTGCGGAGACTGGCACACCCGGGAGACGTCGGAAGGGACGTTCCTAACCCGGGTTCGTGGCTTGTGCTGCTTGCCACGCCTGGGAAAGAGCCACACTCTGGTCCTCCTCAGCCATCGATTGGGAACACAAACGTCCAACACACACACACGGGGCAGACAAACCTGGGGCAGCGCCCTCCTCGTCACAATTTGACCCGTTCGCGTGTGTTATTTCTGATGCCATGTTGCCAACCCGGTCTCCCTCTCAACAGGACGCAGGGAAATGGAAGGTTAGAGAGCATAGCGGATTCTCCTCCGCGCCGTGATTATAATGGGAAGCGAATAGTAACCCGCATAGAGGCATTCATTCATTTATTTTTTAAATAAATAAATTATAATTAAAAATAGCTCTCAGATTCCACCAGGGATGGAGAGACTGACCCTGGCGTAACCGCAGCACCGAGGAACTTGACCCACCCGCGGATTCTCTTCCCAGTGCCAAACCCAGAGCTTGGAAGTTTAGGATCGGGGTGCAAAACAGGCTGGGAAAAGGGGGGGGGCGCCGGCTTCACTCAGTCGCGGATGGGGTGCCTCCCATTGCAAGCTCGCTTCCACCCCACCTCGCGCTAATAATAATCATCATAATATCTCAACGATAAATGGTGTGAACCAAAAGGGATGGGAGGATGTTTGTTTGGTTTACCAACATCTCTTCTCTCCAAGCCGGCTGAAGGCTGATAAAAGGACCCGCTTCCGCGTGCGACCCTCCCCGAATAAGAAATGTGGAAGAGTCTACTAAGCCAGGAGGTGATGGCAGCGTCTTCGGCACTTTGCTTCTCTGCCTTTCATCCGTTCCTTTGCCACTGTGAACGCGGACATGGTTCTACTTATGGGGAGGGATCTTTTCAGGTGGACTCTAGCTCCAGAAGATTTCGATATCCTAAACTGAACACTCCAGGTTCTTCTAGGCTTGGTACAGAAAACGCTGGTCTATTTCTTTGTCACTCCCCAACAAAGAGTAGCAAACGGGTGTTTTCCCTCTCAGGTGGGCAGTTTCCTCTTGCCCTTTCCACGATGGTATAAAGAGCCCAAGGAAGATGAAAGGAAAAACAGGAATTCGGATCATGGATCTCGCTGTAAACCAGAGCTGTCTCGCTACCCATTTCCCAGCCGGGGGTGTATAATTACCAACTGGGAAAGCAGCTTCTGCCCACGTTGTAAGATGGGGGCGAGGGTGGAGTTGTTTTTTGTTTGTTTTAAGTTGTGGAGACAATGCTGGTCACATTCCATCTATAGCCATTCAACTGCATTGAAGTGAAAAGAAACCCACTGGTGCAATTAAGGGCACTCCAGCTATTGTCTATCTACATAAACTACTGAATATTTAAGCAAGTAAACCCGGGTCAAAACAGATGAAGGCATGACAGTTTCGTTTCGCGTGTGAATCGCCAATTTATTTATTTATTTTTTCAAAAAGCTGCAACGTGACTTCACCAAAATGAGACTCAAGACGACTGACTACTTAATTACAACACAATGAAGGCCTCCTTAGGTTCAGAGCCTCACAGCCCTTCAAAGTGATCTTTGCTGGTGAGAAGGTTACTCTTGGAATGTTGACTCCATAGTGGGGACCCCCAGGAGAACCCAACCATTCCGCCAGTCCCCCAATCAACACACATTATTATTGATAGATGTGGCACACAAAATAGATCATCTCTCTATTGCTTTTGCTCTCTGTTTTTATTAGAGGTTAGAAATGGGAAATAAAGCCTTGTTTTTAAAGACAGGACAAGACTGAGCAGGGAGCAGATATTTAACAAGGGGACAGGGAAAAAAGAAGAAGACAATTATCTGGTTATCTAACAAATAAACATTTTCCCATTAGACATGATACTAAAAATGCTGCAGTCTTGACTGTACATACATACAAAACATGAAACATTGGCTAGAAAGTAGGCATTCTATTTCAGTACAGCCAATGCTTTATCAAAATCCCATCAAATGAAGTAAGAACAAGGAGTAATCGTATTAATGTTCAAAGATGAAACTGTTAGGAAACAATTTCTTTTTCTTCTTGGATCCAATAGTCTGCCAAGGTCTGCAGTTACAGCTGAGTTGTTCTCTCTAGGCTTTTAGCTGCATCTTTTAGTTTCCCAACTAAATCCTAAAACATGAAGTAAGAACTTTAGAA